CCTCACACAGAGGGGGTTGTGCCCTTGCGCTTTAAGGCCACCCCACCACCCTCAGCAGCTCAGCTCACCTAGGCCTCACACAGAGTAGTTGCCCTTTCAGCTTGAAGGCCACCCACCACCCTTCGCAAGCTCACTCGTGGGCAGGTTCACCCTTCCCTTGGTGCCATCTTGTGTGAATTAGACCTGCCACCTGGTCTTGTCGGTTTGTGAGTCTGGTTTAGCAAAGCCGTGGTCAACTCATAGCTGGATGCAAGCGGGCATGAGGACCCAACACAACCCCCTCACTGCGGGGCCTGTCCCCCAAGGCCCTGCCCTGCCTGGCACACCCTGTACCCACCACCGGGCCTTGGCTGCGAGCCTTGGGGCTGGTTCACTCACGCCACACTCTGCTCTGCCCCCAGGGCTGCCTCAGGGGGCTGATGGTTGGACCGGAGGCCTTTGAAGTTCTTAACCGAAATTATCCCTGCAGCCAGAAATACTCTGGAGTTGCCAGACCGTTGCTGCCAGAGTGCTGATTAGCCCTAAACCCCCCCCTGCCCCTCCGGCTACCTTCTTGTCTTCTGTATGCTTATAAAACCACAGTCGAAGTAGTTAGACCTTGGACCCTTGCTTGGTCTCATTCTTTCTCTCGCCATCTCTTTCAGGCCGGTCCCCCTGACCGACTGACTAACAGAATGGCCGCGGGCCGGACAAGTGGCCGGGCCCAACAGTGGGGCCACGAGGCACGGACACTTGCCGGATGGACGCTGCAACCACTTCTTAGCGCTGACGCATAGAAGGAGACCTTCCTTTCTTGCCGCCTTCACAGAATCGACGGTCTGCGTGAGTGATTTTTTTGTACATTGTCATCCTCGGAGATGCCGGCCGATTCCGTTGTCTTAAAGGAGGCCGTTTTATCAAGGAATTAAGGCACACTCAGAGGATGATGAGGAATTAGGTTTAAGTAAAAAAGATTTAGTAAAGTTTTTTGTGTTCATTGGACCGAGCTTGCCCTTGGTTGTTTTGTATTGTGCGTTGGACCCGAGATTCACCACTGCAAGTGGCTAAAAAGTTACGCAGGAGATCTAAACAATTTATTCTGATCAGCCCGATGCCGTCCCTGCTATCTGTTTTCTGCGGTACTGGCGACTAATCAGAGATATTGTTGAAGGGGGCAGATTCAGACCCAATAAAAGCAGCTTGCTCTAGTTAGCAGAATTCTTGCTCCGACCTGTGTCGGCGGGTCCGCTTCGGGAACGTCTTTAAAGACGGCCGAAGGTCACTTCCTCCTAATGATCCTGAGGGACCTTACATTGCCCTTCCCTGCCCCCCGTCGGTTTGTATGAATATGCCTGCCTCAGCGAGCCCCTCGGCTGAGCCTCCAGACATCGTAGGGCGGAGCCCCCCGATTAGTAGGCCGACCAAGGACCCTCTACCCTCCCTTGCCGGAGGGGCACTGGCCCCCTCGATGCTTTCAATTACCCCGTGTATTCAGAGACAATCCTCCGAGAGTCCTCTTGACCCCACAGAAGGGCAACCCTCGGAGGAGGGAAGCGGCTGGATGATTTCACGAATCGCCGAATGCCGGCCTCTTACCGCAGATCCCATAGACCTCTTCCTGGCCCGGCCCCGATTTGCGCACGCCTGTTAATGCTCCCTTCAGTTGCCCGTTGCTTGTTGCGTGCCAAGAGACTTAAGTCAAGGGTTACGCAATTAAAAGATGTCTTACAACTTCAAAAAGGAGTTGTGTCCAGCTTTCAAGACTTGTCCTCCCTTCCAGATCGCTTAAAGATTCTGTCCTCATTAGGCCAGCCCCGTCATGAGACCGCCAGTCGCACGCTCACCTTACATAAAATCCTTAAAATCCTCTCCTAAAGCCCTAGCATTACCA